TTGCCAGAGCTAGCAAAGGTACTCCTCCTCTTCAAATTCACAGAGGAACAGCCACTTACTGTCAGGCAGTGCAGGTAAACAAGGTATGAGACAACAGAGGTCTCAAGAACCCCTGGCATGTGAGTAAACCTTTTGCTAATAGGTATTGTGCATTCCAGCACTCATAACTACCTAGGCAGGGTTACAGTGCACCTCCACTGCCAGCACAGCAGACCCTGAGGGGACACATCCTCAGGATGTGGATGTCCCCATGGAACACTGGCACAACTCCACACTGGTACAGCCCATGCCCACTCCACCTGATCCAACAGCCATTCAACTGCAGCAATCAACAGGAAAAACAAGGCTCATTGAACCAACCATACATCTAAACAGCCAAACAGCAAAACAAATATTCCAGAGTAAAGGCATCAGCATCCCTACCATAACAGCTTTTCCAGATAAGTCACATTTTTATAGGAATTAAGCCACTTAAAGGCTAGCTCTGATGCTAAATGAAACTCACCTCAGTGCAGGTGAAAGCTGTCTGATTCAAAAGAATCAAATTCAACCACTTTACCTCCATCCTACACCACAGCCACACATCAAAGCACGTGTTTTCAGAAGAACAATCCTGCAAACCATGGCAAATAAACGGGGCATGTATTAGCTGTACGAAGGTCAGGATCTTAGGCCTGATTCCTCATGCCAGGAATAGCAGGACTATCTGGTGCCTATTCTGGTCAGCCCAGCTTGGATGCAGAACAAGAGAATACTTTTCAAGGGTGACATGGACAGCAGTTTATATCCTTCAAGGTGTTAGCTTAGATCCTGCAAACATGCAAAGGAATTTAGTGGAGGACTGAAGGGGAACAAGTGTATCTGAGACACCTGTTCCACACAAGAGAAAGTTCATTTCAGAACTACAATGAGCAGTTTCAGCTCAGCCTCCACTCAAAAGTGAGGACGGCAGAAGAGTGAAGCACTACTGGCATCACCCCTTGAGCACTCCACAATGAAACTGAAGTTACCCTCAGCTGTCACAAACTCCAAACCCTGCACTTCAGGCATGCAGGTCTTAGCAACAAATGAAACAGCAATATTTATCAAGTGTATCCCGCCCAGAGGACAAACACACTACAACTTGTTGATTTTGTACTAGAACCTCTCACTGTTTTGTTTACTTGCATGTCAGACATCCAGTTGCTGCTTTCACACCTTCCATGACTTTAAGTGCAATTCTCTGAGCTCAATGCACGTTGATAAGAGAATGTGGATTCGGACAAGGAAAGAACTTATCCTAAAGTTAGAGCAGAATTAACACCAGAGAAGCTCCACCACATCCCACTGCTTGCCCATCCCTCCAAAAGGAAAGTTTCAGAAAACAGTATCTCTGAAATCAGGAGGGAGCAAATATTCTCCTTCACAATGAAGTCTGAAAGCAATCCCATGGAGAAACTCTCCACAGCCATGCCTGGGAGGAGAGAGGAAGTTAGAAGAGGTGTACAGGAAAACAACATATGTAAACTCTCAGAGAACCAAAGGAGAAGAGGAGCAAGAATGCCATTAAGAAAAACAAATAGAAACAGAGAGCCACCACCTACCCTCAAAGAGGAACTCACAGCTCCCTGTAACGGGAAATACGAGGCCAAATCCTGCCCTCACATTCCTAGGAAATCCAAAGTAAACTTTCCTTCCGCGTTTGAAGCGGTAATGGATATTGGAAAGGAAGATGTGTCTGTGGAGCAAACTTCCCAGCACAAGTTTTAATCCAAGTTCTCTCCTGTGTGCAGGAGCTGGTGGTGCTGCTACACCAGAGCAAACCACCAGAAGAGCTGCAGGACACAAGTGGTGACCAGCACCAGCTCCCTGTGCTGTGACACCAACACAGAAACCTCCAGGAAAGGAAAAAAGCATTGCACAGCCCAACAAACACCTTCTCCCTGCTCACTCCCAAGCCAGGCAGCTAAATCATCACCTCACCCAACCCAGCTGAACATAGCTCATATGTTTGCCATGATCCTCACAGAAGGAAAACTGTAGGAAAGCTCAACATACTTGCCTAAATAGAGTAATAAAAGTTTAACCATAGAATAGCAAGGATCAAGTTGTGGAAAAGGAGTTAGTGACATACTGTAACTAATCCAGTATCCAACTAAGTGCTACAGGTTTAATGCAATCTCTGCACAACAACTCCCAATTCTTTAGGGATGGATCTGACCTAATTTTTATTTAAAAGTGCAGCTGAAATATTTATAAACAGCCCCTTGAAAAAAACAGTCAGGTGCAATTTAACTGTTTATCCTCTGCAATGATTTTGACTTGGCAGGTCAATTCCAGAACTGTGTTTGAAGCTCCTTGTACAAGAACCTAGGGAAAAGGGATAGCTGGATCCGAGAAAGTAAAACTTCTGACTGCTGCCAGCCACCCCTCCCACACACCACCGGATTATATTGAGTCTGAAAACATATACACACAGTGAGAATTAGCTAACAGCCTCACTAGTTCATAAATCAGAGAATATTTATCAGCCAGAGTACATTCTACAACAAATAATTGGCTTCACAGCGGAGGGAGGGGGAAGTAGGTCATAGCAGATCTTAAAAAAACCTGTAATTGCACACAATAATTTGATGAAAACCAGTTGCCTCAGCACGTCTATGATGTCTGTCTTTCACTACTCCGTTGAGTTTTGTTTGAGAAAGTGAGTTTGATAAATTTCCCTAAGTGTTCCCAAAGTAAACCAACACGCAACACTGAAGCGAGGCAGACTGAAATGTGGAAAAGTGTCATCGACTTGTCAAACAGCAACTTACGAGTGAAGCTCATCAGGCACCTTGTATTTCTAGTAATAAATGATCAATCATAACTCATTAGGTATCTTTACATCAGCCATTTATTTGAAACACTCTGAAGAATTTCCCCAGCACTGACTCCCACGTCACATACAGTAAGACAAAGCAACACCGCGAAGAGCTCTGACCTCCCAGGACTTCCCAACACATGATGCTCCCTCCCAACACTCAATCACTCCTGCTTTCCATTATATTTATTCATAAATTATACAAATATGCAAGGAGACATGATGGGCCATTGAATGTTTTAAATACTTTGGCAAATTCTACAAACAAAAGCAATTTAAAAAGCAGCAAAAAAATGAATAGAAAGCTGATGATGAATTAAAATTAGAAGCCATTCATAAGGGTCCATTAAAAGCTAAACAAAATCACCATGTTCTAGACCCGAGGATCACATCTGCAAGTAAGGCTACAGCTCTTAACCTGAAATCATCAACTCCTCCCCCTCCTAATGGCCCTTTTAAAGTCAAAACATCCTACTACCTCCACAAACAGCTTGAAAATCCTCATTTTAAAAAGTAAGGGCATGTGAGAACAAGCTGCTGCTCTCCAAATGAACAGCAGCATGGTGGCCAAGGAAAATAATAGTGTCTGATACAAGATCCATCCCATATGGGCTCCTACATCTCATTAAGGCTCTCCTCCCACCAACACCCAGGCAAACGTGAGGCTGAGAGCACACGGCTCTGTCTGTAGTAGCACAATCAGAGACCAGGCAGGATCAAGCACACGGCTCTGTCTGTAGTAGCACAGAGACCAGGCAGGATCGCCACGTTTCACCTGAGCCAAGAGGGAAGCCAAGGAAACAGAAACCACCAGGAATCAAGCGTGCTGGGAAGGTTTAGCTGCACGACAAAACGAGACTGAACCAGCAAAGAATCATCTCCAGGTGCATACAGAACACTACTGCCCCAGAAGCTCGACCTTACTCCATGCTCTGACAATGCTATTGACAACAGTTTTTAAGTGCAACACCTCTGCACGTCCTGCAAAGAGCACAGAGACACCTGCAACCGATGTGGATCGTAGAACACGCTGTGTGGAGCACTACAGCACTCTGTTGCTGGAACTCAGAGAGTTTCCATGCCCCAAAAGCATGCTCCCCATGAAAAATGTAGGCACTTCAACACTGTCCGAAGCACAGCGAGAACAATAACCAACCCAACATGCTTTCACCTCCTTTGTCAAGCAAGGCAGGGCAGCCAAGTCATGCCAAGAGCCTGATGATGAAAGCACCTCAATATATAGCTGCACCACAAGAAAACCATGCCTGTCACAATGGAAATCTTACAGACTGCTTCCTTGGCAGAGCACAGCAATGGGAACTCGCATTGAGAAGGCACAACAGGAACAAAATCACAAGTCAACATGGTAGAACAAATCAAAAAAGGAAAGCAAAGCAGAGCAGCACATTCCTGTTTTAACGACAACTGATAACCCTCCCGGACAAACTTTCTGAAGGCATTAAGTGGGAGAGAGGAAGTTTTGGGGCTTTTGTTTTTTCCGAGGTGAAATTAACTCCTGTATGTCAGTTTCACCATCTCCTCAAGAGCTCCACAGTTACTCAGCGCCAGGCAATCAGCGAGACCTGACAGCTAAAGCTTTCAGAAATCCGCACCATTCCCACACTGAGCACAAAGCCGATTCCTTTCGGATGACAACAGTCACCGGAGAGAGATCAACATCTCGGCGAGGGAGTTGTTGTTCTCATGGCATCTTTAGTTTCAGCCGTTTCCTTTCTCTCTCTCTAATCCTCAACCGTTCCTACTCCTCTCAAAAACACAGGTAAATCCCCACCCAAACCACAGCAAACCATCAGCCTCCCAAACCACAGCGTTCCTGGCTGGCTGTCCACCACCAGAAGGTCCTCTGTACACCAGCAACAACAACAAAAAAAAGCGCAGCACAAGAAAAAAAAAGATTCAGGTTGCTGCCACATCCACGGAACATGTCTTCCAGCTCCAATTAAACGCTTGAAAGGGAATATTTAAAACCCACAAGGCTTTTGAACGGGGACAGAAGGGACCGCACGGGGGGAAAAGGGGGGGATGCAAGCAGCCGATATAGCCAGGCAACAGAGGGAGGGGAAAAAAAATAATAAAAATCAACAAGTCGGCGCAGCCCAGCGCGGAAAGCAAGGCGCGTTGGAAGGGGCAGACCTACCTCGTGGAAGTGCCTTTCCTGACATCGCAGATGCTGCATTTGAAGGCTTCGGCGCTGTTCCTGAAGGTGCACACGCTACAATCCCAAAAGCCTTCATCGGCTGCAGGTTTGGCTTGCCTTTTCGGCCTTGAGGAGGGGGGAGGGAGCAGGGGGAAGCGTGTGAGTGTGTGTACGTGCAGGTTTGGCTTGCCTTTTCGGCCTTGAGGAGGGGGGAGGGAGCAGGGGGAAGCGTGTGAGTGTGTGTACGTGCAGGTTTGGCTTGCCTTTTCGGCCTTGAGGAGGGGGGAGGGAGCAGGGGGAAGCGTGTGAGTGTGTGTACGTGTGTGTTTGGGGAGGAGGAGAGAGGCGGCGGGAGGAGGAGGAGGAGGAGG